GACTGGATTTTTTATTTCTAATAATTATATCATTATATCCTTTAAGGAAAAAAAAAACTAGCAATTAATGATACTTGAAGTGTCAGCTCCTAAACAGAACGCAAGGCCTATTCCTTGCTTGAGGCTATTGAAAATATTAATCTAGAGATGGTTAATGTTTCAGAGGCCCCTTTAAATGTTAATGTTAGTGATGTTTTAACGTTTAATGTTGGTGTTGGTTATACAAGGTTTAATGACTACTACGTTAAAAAAACAGCTAAAATTCTGTATCTTATTTCCCATGCATACAGTTGATTTAACTTATTTCAAACATTTAATACACAACTACTAAGTACAGTGAAACCTGTGAGAGCCAGAACTCGACCAGACTTCCTTGTTTTTCTAGGCCTTGCAAGTCTTACCACTTTTCTATCACTCTTTTTAGTGGAAGATATTTGAGGTTTCCTTCTCTGACAGGTTTCCACCTTACACAGGTTCTAGCTCTCACAGGTTTTACTGTGTAATTATCACAGAAAGTTAAAACATACAATAAACATTAACCAGCAGTCTTAAGATGACTAGTATATCTCATGACATTAGTGACTATTCTGTTTTATATTTATTTTCACAAATCAGAGGATAACTTCATATTAATTTGAAAAATGGCCATATGCTTGCCATCTGTTGTCAACAAATGCCAGCAGCCTAAGTTCTTTTAAGGTTAGATACAAGTACCTTATTAGGTCTGTGATGTACCCCTGCAAAATACAGTCTATCTTTAAACACTGAGGCCTCAAGACAATAAAGTTAGGGTCCCTTGCCATGCCCATAAATGACCAAATGCTAAAACCCACTGCCATCAAGTCAGTTCCAACTCACAGAGACCCCATAGGACAGAGTAGAACTGCCATATAGGGTGACCAAGGAGCAGCTGGTGGATTCGAACTACTGACCTTTTAGTTAGCAGCCATACCTCTTAACCACTGAGCCACCAGGGCTCCTCATTAACAGCACCACTTAAAAAAATCATCTTCTTTGTGAAGAGGAACAAGACAGGTTCCTCTTGTAAATAAAGCCAGTTCCACTGTGAGTGGCGTTACACGAAGCTCCAATGTACACGCATAAAGCAGTAAAGTGCACGTACCTCTAGCTTCTCACTGAACTCCTCAGTATAGGGAATAAATCTGCTATCCGCGTCTCCCTTGTAGAACCAAGTGCAGCGCCTCACTTCAGCAGGCTCCTCCTCCCAGTACACAGGCTTCCTCACCCGGTCATAGAGGTGAACATCGTAACGCCCTCCGTCTGTCCCTAGAACCACACTCTCGGGGTCTGGCTGGACTAGAGCACAAAGTCCTCATCTTAGCCCAACAGTTACAAAGCATACTCAGAAAGAATAAAAAATGAATACGGTGACTAGCCCATCCTTAAAGACAAGGGACTAAGCTCATTTTTGTTTTAAAATATAAATATCAAATTAGTCTGTGCTGCTCAAAACTATGACTCTTCTTAAATGGAAAAGAAATAGCCAAAGCAAAATTTAAAAACATGATTATAAAATAATTCAAATAACTGGTCGATTTTTTTTCCACTCAAAGGAGTAATATCTACCTATAGCAATACACCATGAAGTATATTTCTAAGGAATATTAATAGGTTTTTTTTTAAGTCCAATAATCACTGAGATAAACAAGAAGCATATTTCTGTACTGCAGGACTTCTCAGAGCCTTAACATGCCTGTGCACTGTCAGTCTCCAAGAGGTGGAGACTGTAAGCAGCATTTCCAAAACTCATCTGAGTGTGGAACAATTTTTTCACACAGCCTCTCTGGGAATAAGTGTTCCACAGAAAATGCTCTTAGAAATGGCCCATAACCACAAATGAGTAAGGGAAATAAAAAAGCTGAAAAAAAACCAAAATCTAGGATATATGAGTTACTCTATTTTCTGATTTAAAACACATTTAAATAAAGAAGGAAATTACTAAACCACTTCTTCGGATATCTTGCTCAGATAAATCATATCACCATGTTAAGGTACAGAGTCTGGTGGGGTCTACAAGGATTAAGGAATTTGACATTCACAAAAACTAGACCATGGATAAACTGTCTTCATCTCTTCTCTTCCGTAAATCAGACACAAGACAATGCACGATCAGTACTTACCTGAATTATAGATTTCTTCAAGATTAAAAGAGTCATACACACTGAAAGGCATCCACAGTTGTTTGCATTCTACTTCCTTGCAGTAAAACCAGTGGGGTTGAACAGGTTCATATTGGTTTTGAAGTAGAAAAGGAGGTGGTGCTTGGACCGAGGGGCCTGCAGGTCTAGCCAGTACCTGCTGCTGTGCTGGTGGGGGCAAGGCTGACTGCACTGAAGGAGGACTCTGGAGGGGACAAAAAGTGAGGACCATCATGCTTGTCCAAAGGAACAGTTTGTGTATGCTTCTGAGCCAAACTGACAAAAGTAATAATTACCCTAGATATATTTCTGGACAAGTATTTAGTTTAACGGTGTCCTGGTGGCACAGTGGTTAGGAGCTCGGCTACTAACCAAAAATTCAGCAGTTCAAATCCACCAGCCGCTCCTTGGAAATCCTACGGGGCAGTTCTACTCTGTCCTATAGGGTCGCTATGAGTCCAAACGGGCTCAACAGCAACAGGTTTTTTTGGTTATTTAGTTTAATAACTAGGCCCCAAAACAATTAAAATATTAAAAAAAAAAAAAAAAACTCAAAAGCATTTGCAAAGGGAATGGGACTTTCTCATGCCGATGGCAATGTAAACTAACACCTTAACAGATACCAATCTAGCAATACATTGCCCGCAATTTATTTAAGCTTTAAAATGTGCACATACCTAAACCGAGCCATTCCATTGCTAAGAATTTATCCTAAAGAATAATTATTATAATGAGCAAAAATTTACCTATCAGGATGTACATCAAAGGGTTATTTATACTAGAAAAACACTGGGTTGGGTTCTTAATTCTTCCTTTTAATCTTTCCCCTTCTTCAATTCAGTTGATATCTCTTTTGAATTCGGATGAATAATTAGTTAAGAAAAAAGCATACAGGGACTTCAAAAAACGTACCCAATGCAAATGCTGTCCCATCACCCCCCGAGACAGAGTTTGGCTGTCTAGATCCAAGCTCCATAAATATAAATAAAAGAAAGTACTGAAGTAATCAATCTTAGTCCCTGTAACCGAGTGTTTTGATTAAATAGTGCAATTATAAGATGAGAAACTGGCAGTCTCCTAAGACAGTAATTGTTTCTACTCTCACAAGTCCCTAGATGATATTTATTATCTGGAAATATTGGCAGGTCGCTTACTCATTAAAATCAATTACTATTTCACTAAATAAACCAATCCCGCTGCCGTCAACTTAATTCTGACTCACAGCAACTCTACAGGACAGAGTAGAACAGCCCCATGGGGTTTCCAAGGCTGTAATCTTTAACAAAGCAGACTGCCACAGGGTGGTAGATTTGAATTGCCGACCTTTCAGTTAGCAGCCAAGCGCTTAACTATGGCCCTACCAGGGCGCCTTTTACTTCAATAACAGCTGATATAAATTAAGATAAAAATGTCAAACATCTTCACCAATTGTAACAAATATACCACATCAATGCAAGATGTTAATAATAGGGAAACTGGGGTAGAGGGTAATACAAGAACTCTGCACTTTCACTCAATTTTTCTGTAACCCTAAAACATCTCTAAAAATTAAAGTCTATTAATAAAAAATAAATTAAAAAACACTGAACCATCCCATGAGCTTTGTCGTTAACGGCCATCAAGTTGGCTCTGACTCACAGCCACCCTACGTTCAACACGACACAACAATGAGCTACTTTTAAGAAAATGTTTACTTCAAAGCATGTAGCTTGCACAGAACATCCTCTGAAAATAGTGTCACCATACTGATTATAAAATACAGAGCATTTTTAAAAACATAGGTTACGGTGAGAGAGAGAGAGAAAAATTAAGAGTGGATGATCAGGATATAAAAACCTGTCTCCATACCGGTGGCAAAGCTCCAGGAGGCATCTGGTACATCTGAACAGGGGGTCCAGGGGGTGGCAGCTGGGTGGGATGGCCAGGTGTCTGGCACTGCTGCAGCTGTGGTGGTGTAATATAAGGGTTAGCCCTGCTGCTGCCAGGAGTGTGGCGATACGGATTGTATCCTTGTTGGGGTGCTCCTGGCGGTGGGCTCCCAAAATGTGCAGGAGGGAGACCGCTCTGCTGAGAAGGCAGGTAAGCATTTACTCCCATCTGTGGCATAGGTGGAGCACCATACTGAGCCTTCGAAACAGACGGCGAAAATGCATTCAACACATCTTGCGATCCAGTTGTAAAAGGGAGAGCAGCTGGGGGTTTAGAGAAGGGTGATTGTCCAACCGATGCTGTTGCAGTTGTTAACGGTGACTGCCCAATATTCCCAAAAGGGTCACCACTGCTTGGTACCTGAGAGAAGTAACTAAATGTCTGTGGGGTAGACGTATGAGCAGAAGTCTGACCAAGGAAGCTGTCCTCCTCACCGACATCTGTGGAATCCTCTGGAACAGAACAGGAGAGCAAATGGTTCAAACTGTACTCCCTGTATCATTCTGTGGATATCAGTCTATGAGGCAGATCTAGCAATTTCAGTTTTACAAACTTATATTTCTGCACTACAGAAAAAAACAAATGACCGTTAAAAAGAAAAACTAAAAAATATGGGTAAGACTAAAACAAAAGGAGAGAAAATTTTAATTCACTCATAAGCTCACCTCTCAGACAATCACTGTTCACATTTTGGCACAAATTGTTCCATACTTTTCTAATTAGTACTTATATATAGAAGAAGTTTATTAAAATAGAAACAAAATCTATCCCTACTATCTTTATAAATTATTTTGAATGCTTTTTTTTTTCCCCTGGTTAAGAAATAATTCAAACGTTATTCCAGCACCTGAATAAATGTAAGAGTACTGAAGAGAAACTACAGATATTAACTCTGCTAACAAGAAGAGGTGTGTCAGGCCTCTTACCTACAAAGCAGTTATTGTACAAATGAATACGTGGTATTTGCATTTCCAGGGCAAAGTGGGTCAACCATTAATTTCCAACTCTAAAATCACACAGTATCACAAGCAGAGAAATCAGTCATTAAAGAATGCCAAATCGCTAGAAATGTCATTTTCTAACCCAGGGGAATTCTCTTCATTTCTCTTTGCCCAACCTGATCATCACTGTGGGTATTATCAATACTGTTCCAATCCCAAGTTATAAGAAGCATTTTTCCCTCTATGTGATCTCAAAAGTCCACCTCACTTTAATGAGCGCTTAGTTTGTTGCAACTTTCACCCTCCTCCTCCTCGTCTTGTCCTTATGACTCATTCCCTCTTATCTCCTACTGTTGGCCCCATGGTGTCCACCAGTGGGGTGGTCTGAAGCCCAGCACACAGGCACTCTGTGCTCCCTGCCCTCGAAGATCTGCCAAAGCACGCCTTTTCAAGCTCCCAGCTCCTTCTCAACTTCTGCTGAAGGAGGCCATGGGGGGGCGGGTCTGGCTTGTGCTGCCATGTTGCTCCCACTCACATAAATCGGACTAAGATATTCCACTATTCAAAATGTTCCTCTCTGTTGTTTCTTTGTAACAGAAATATCACTTCCTGCACAAGCTCTTCCTCAGCTTGTATCACTCTACTCTTCGGTTTCCAGTTCATACCCTCTCTTTTCAGTCACTGGAACCTAACCTGGACTCATCTGTGCTTCTTAGTTCATCCCCTAACCATTACAAGCATAGGAAAAAACCTCTGTGGCATCTTTCATCCTTTATAGAAAGCTCAACCTGATCCAAGACACTTTTTTCTGATCGGCATCAATTACAAACAAAATACTGTTCTCAGCATACCATTAGCCTCGCATCAGGAGCATTGCTAATTATATACCAACACACACCACATGTAACTACAACTTTAATGAGCACCTGTACACCGGAGCCACTCCCAGCTCTCTCTCTGACCTGGACTGTTCTCAAGTGCTCCAAATCCTACTTCCCACCTATTTTGTCAGTACTCCTGGCAGACTCAGCCACACGGACTTCAAGCTTAGAATGCCTAAAACTGAATTTTAGCATCTTAACCGCCCCCACCCCACATGCTCCCTTTACCATAGCTCCCTATCTCAATAAATGTTTGCCAATATCCACCCAGACATTCAAACCAGAAACCTCAAGTCTCCCAGCCTCCTCCCTCACTTTCACACCCCTCATTTAATCATTCAGATACTCATTCAAAAAACACTTGACTATGTGCCACGCATGGCGCTAGGAACCGGGGCTGAGACTCAACAAGGTAGAAGGGGCTGCTGTGCTCACAGAACTGACAGTCTGGCCTCCAGTGAGTTTCTAAGCCCCAATAATTTTACAGTTTAAAATCTCTCATGTCTGCCCCCCACTCCTCTACTCAGTGAGGCTGACTTGGGCCCAAGTGCTATCTGCTCCTGAATGACTCCACAACAGCCTCCGGAATCCAGACATCTTGCCACAGTCAGCCTCACTCCAGTCCACCTTACTCCAGTCCAGTCCATTCTCCAGAGTCTTTCTGAAACACACCTTGAATGTCACTGCCTTATTGAAAATCCTTCAAAGGCTCCTCCACACCTATAAGATGAACCACAGACTCCTCAGTATGGTACATGAGGTCTCTGTGATCTGGTCCCATTCTACCACGTGAGCTTCCCTGTGCACAAGCCACTTCCCTACACACACTCTAGTCACACTGATCTACCCGCAGAAGGAGAGGAAAAGGAAGGAGGGAGGGAGAATGACTGTGTGTGTGTCATCCATCCCTGTCCCATACTACCCACTACCAACTCCCACCAAATCTGTAGACTTTTACATGTCTGTCTCCCCAGACTCCCTAATTTCTATGCATCCTTCACCACTCAGCTCAAGCATCAGTTCCTCAGTGGGCCCTGAAGGTCTAAGGGAAATCCTTGCCCCATCAGCCAGCCTGAGACCACAGCTTTCACAGCAACCCGTCATTTCCTGTGTGGCTGCTATAAACTGCACTGTGACTACTTACACAGCTGGGTATGTGTGTATACTTATACACTGCGCGGTCCCTGAGGGCAGGGCTGTTCGCTCTTCTTTGTCTCCCAAACATCTATCACAGGACCCAGCAAACAGAAGCTGCTCAATCCATGTTTGCTGAATAAAGGAAACTGCTTCCTATGTGTCTCTTTCACTGATAGGATTCAGTGTTGCTTCCAATGCGACAGGCTCTTCTTTTGTCCCTGGAAGTTCTCTGAATGGCTAACTGTGAGCCTTTTTTAGAGGTGGAAATACTTGTTGCAGAATTTTCGTTCTAAAAACTGTTAATTTCCTCACAAAAATATAAGCCATCTCTAAGAAAGAAGCGTTTGAAAGCCAGTTACAGTAGCTATCCAAGTACTTGATCATGAAAATGTTTAGCATTAGTAGAAAGGAACACACACAAAGCAAACAAGATATAGCAAGAAAATGGGTATGAACCAAGACAACATGTGTGAAGCAGAAGGATGATGTGAAACCCAGGTGTGGTCTTATTTCTTCTTGCATCCTCCCATGGCATTCTGCTCCAGCCAGACTGGTCCTTCGCCAGAGACAGCAGTGCCTGAAGGCAGACGCACTGTTAAAGCACAACATATGTATTCCTGACTCCTGTCTTTCCATTCGTTCAACAAATATCTATTGACTAATTGGTCCACAGTTAGCATGCCAGGCACTGGTCTATGCACTGGGGATGGAACAATGAATAAAACTAAGCCCCTGCTCTCAAGGAGCCTACATTCTAGTGGGAAAAAATAAACAGATGCACGTGTCAGGTGATGATAAGCACCAAGAAGAAACAATACAAGAGCAGTGGGACCTTCGTGTACCGAGGGGAACCCTGATGCCCCAGTCTGCCTTTCTTCACTTCTCTAGGAAACTTTCCTTAGTCCTCCAAGCAATAATAAATTATTCCCTAGGATACTCAGCATTTACTGAGGACCTATGTGCTGGGCAGTAAATACTAGAAACAAAACGGTGATTAAGTCATAGCTGCAAACTTCAAGAAGTCCACAGTTCAAATGGGGAGGTAAACACATTTATTCCACAAACACTATACAACACTATGTGGCAGGTAAGACAGTGCTTTACAAAAACAAATTCATTTCTCATTACAGCCCTATGAGGCTGTACATATTTGGAAACTGAAGATCACAGAGGTAAAATAGCATGCCCGGCATCACATAGCAAGTTAATGACAAGGCCAGGACTACAACCCAGACATTCTGCGCTCCTACACACTATGCTCTGGTTATGCCAAATAATCATTAAAAAAGCAATCTCCCTAAACTCACTGCTGTCGAGTCGATTCTGACTCATAGTGACCCCACAGGACAGAGTATGGATGCAAAAGCTGGGCAAGGAAGACAGAAGAATTGATGCCTTTGAATTATAGTGTTGGCGAAGAATACTGAATATACCATGGACTGTCAAAAGAACATACAAGTCTGTCTTGGAAGAAATACAGTCAGAGTGCTCCTCGGAAGTGAGGATGGCGAGACTTCATCTCATGTACCCTGGACATGTTATCAGGAGGGATCAGTCCTTAAAGGACATCATGTTTGGTAAAACAGAGGGTCAGCAAAAAAGAGGAAGATCCTCAACGAGATGGACTGACACAGTAGGCTTCAACAATGGGCTCAAACGTAACAATGATTGTGAGGATGGCGCAGGACTGGGCAGTCTTTCATTCTGTTGTACATAGGGTCGCCGTGGGTCAGAACCAACTTGACGGTACCTAACAACAGCAGGACAGAGTTGAACTGCCCCACAGGGTTTCCAAGGTTGTAAATCTTTACAAAAGCAGACTGCAACATCTTTCTCCCACGGAGCAGCTGGTGGGTTCGAACTGCCACCCTTTCAGTTAATAGTTGAACACTTAACCACTACACCACAAGGGCTCCCTGCAATCTCCCTAGACAATAATAAAGATATGAACAAAGAACAACGAGAATACAAAGGAGTGAGGGCCTAAGACAACAAGAAAAAGTTTCTCAGGAGAAGTGATACGTTGTCTTAGAAGATGAGGAATGCATTCTGTATTTCTACTTTGCAGATAATACATGTCTGTCTGTCTCTCTTCTAGGAGCCCTGGTGACACACTGGTTAAGCGTTCAACTGTTAACCGAAAGGGTGGCAATTCGAACCCACCAGCTGCTCTGTGGGAGAAAGATATGGCAGTCTGCTTCTATAAAGACTTACAGCCTTGGAAACCTTGTGGGACAGTTCTACTCTGTCCTGTAGGGTCGCTACGAGTTGGAATCAACGGCAGTGGGTTTGGTTTTGGGTTTGGTCTGTCTCTCTTCTAAACCGTGAGAGGTGCACTGTTTATCGGCATTCCCTAGCAGGGCTTGGCACACGGTAGGTATTTGCAGTACAATGGTTCTCTTTTATATGGCCTTTCTCGCCATGGTCTTATAACTCCCACCGAAAGACTGGGTGGGAGTATGCAAATTAGGTGCTTGTGGCCCACCAAAGGGATTGACTAGCTTGCTAATAATGTAAATAAGGTGCACGGCACCCTTGTGGGGGTGGGACCATGCAAATAAAGTGTACAAAACCCTAATGAGGGAATTGGTCAGTTTTGCCATCGCGCTAGGCTTAAGAGAGAGCCAATTCCAGAGCAGAGAGGGGACCTGACTACCACCAGGAGGAAGAGATGGGAGAGGATCGCGCCCTTTTTTGAACTTGGGATCCCTGCACTGAGATCCTCTAGACCCAGGAGACAGAGAGAGCGAGCTGTAACACGAAGACGGCAAGACTGCAAGAACCTCTAGCAGAGAAACAGTGGCAACAGAGGCAGCAGAACAGGAGACTGGCAGGAGGCTTACTGGTGGAGTCCGGTGCCTCCAGGCACTTGTTGGAGCTAGGCTCCCAGACCCACTGAGCAAGAGAGCTGAGTGCCTTCAGGCAGGAGGCTTCCTGGCGGAGTAGGGTGCCTCTGGGCACTTACAGGCAAAGCTAAAAGAGCTTAATAACACTTGCCCAAGCAGGGCAGAGGCCGAGGGGCCAGAGAGAGGCATGCCTGGGGGCCTGGCTGAGAAGAGGATGTCCTGATTGAAGGACTGTATCCTGAGCGTTCCTGAACCCGAATTGCAACCTCTTAACCAAAACCAGACCAAACTGTTGCCAATGGAGTTGATTCCAACTCATAGCAACCCTATAGGACAGAGTAGAACTCCCTCATAGCATTTCCAAGGAGCGGCTGGTGAATTCGAACTGTGGACCTTTTGGTTAGCAGCCAAGCTCTCTTGCCCACTGCGCCATGCCATTTTTACAGTAGTCAACAAAGATATGTTGAATGCCAACTCTGGACAACCTGGAAAAGTGAGAGAGTTCGTTCCACGAAGAACAAACCCATGACCCAGCCTCCGCCTCCAAGATCCCAAAGCCCCCACCCAGCCTCCGCCTCCAAGATCCCAAAGCCCCCACCCAGCCTCCGCCTCCAAGATCCCAAAGCCCCCACCCAGCCTCCGCCTCTAAGATCCCAAAGCCCCCGCCCACTCAAATCCGGTCATTGATGCCCCTGGCAACCACTCAGGGGGTCAGATCGGGGTAGAAAGAAGACCTCCTGTCTGGCCCTCGTCACTCCACGCCGCCCCCAACACACACACTCGCCCCAGCGGATCCTCCCCTCCCTTTACTACCTCCTGGCAAGAGCAGGGAGGCTGGCGAAGCGGCAACTTGGGTGACTGGGATGAAGGGCACGTTGAAGCTGAACTCCGTAGCCGAGGAGGAGAACAGTAAGTTAGTGCCCGACGAGGAGGTGGAGGCCCCGCCGCTGCCACCGTTAGGTTTCCTCTCGCTCATGGCTGCGGCCCACCGTCCGTTACACGTCACCGGGCAGCCGGTGCCCACCGCCGACCGGAAACCAGTCACACTCGGGGCCAGCGCACTTCCGTACTTGCGCACGAGGTCCGGAACTCCCGGCGACTCGTCAGCTGCCCGCCCCTTTTCCCTAGCTGGCGTCGCCAGAGATCGACATGGCGGCGCGGGCTTCACGCCCGAATCTATCACGTGACACCCTCCACGGCTCCCCAGCGAAGCTGGACCGGGAGAGCCAGCGCCAGAGCAGGAGCGTGGGAGGGCGAACGCTGCCGGTTCTGAATCAGTGCACAAACTGAAAGTTACGGATTGCCAAGGACGCGCTGGGCTTCCAGTGCCAACGGGAGCGTCTAACTGGCAAAGGTTTTGGAGGAACGGCGGAATGCCGCGGGTAGCGGACTGCTGCCAGCCCTCTGATAACAGAGGAAAAGTAGAGGGGAGAGTTGGCAATTCGCAACCAACGAGGAGCCAAACTCATCCACTCTTGCACCCACATCGAACTCGCCCAGAAATAGAAATGGTAAAGCTTTAGAAGTTTTTAAGCCATAGGTAGAAAAAAACTGTTTAAAAGAGAAACCAGGGGATTGAAGTTTAGGGGTATGACTTTGTAAATAGCTTTCTGTATAGATAGATCTACAGTAGTTTGGTTAATTCAATCCAAAATGCATTGTGGATTACTTGAATCTAATTGTCATCTTTCATATATTTAGAGATTAGAATAGAAACAATAATAACAGATAAGCAGTCTTTCAGCTTCTTGGAGGATGGGGGGAGGAAGCTCAAAAGAGACCCCCAAGAGAAACCTTGAAATAATGAGACTTTTCCGGTTCTCGCCCCCACCCCAAGCTGTTTGCATCTGTATAGAACCTAACTTTATTCATTAATTCTGTAACTAGCATGTTGGGGGTGGGGGGAAGCAATGTGCTAAACACCCAGAGTACAGTGATGTATAAGGGGGAGACCCTTCCTTCCTGGAGCGTACAGTCTAGTTGGGAAGACAGACAACTAAACACGTATGAACTAATGTGTGGTGAGTGTTATACTGTAGAATTTCCCAAAGTGTGTTACACGAAACACATCAGGAGGGGAGGGAGCCATAACCCTTCCATAGGGTGAAGCAGCAAATATCCTGGACAATCAGACCATGGACAAAGAAACGACCTAGTCTGGGGTGACATGAAAGACTTTCCTGAAGAGGAAAAATTAAAGTTGAGACCTCAAAAATAATGAGCAGATGTTAACTGGAAAAGCTCAGAGGAGTGGGGTTATAGGAGGACGTAAGAGACCAGATTAGATAAAAAACAGTATGTGGGATTGTCCTCAGATGCCAGGTTTGATTTCAAGAGAAACAGAGGTATACTAGCAGCTGGAGCTGAATGAGCTTTTGGAAAAATATTGGGAGATAAGGATGAAAAGTAGACAAAGGCCGGATGGTGCAGGGTCATATAGGTTAAGAGTAATAGGGAATCAATAAAGGACGTTAAGAAAGGTAGAGAAATAATCACAGGAGGAAGATATGGCAGTCTGCTTCCGTAAAGATTACAGCCTTGGAAACCCTATGGGGCAGGCAGTTCTACTATGTCCTGTAGGGTCGCTATGAGTTGGAAACGGAATCAACTCAAAAGCAGTGGGTTTTGTTTTGTTTTATTTTATGTTTTCTTTTTTTTAATTTTATTGTACTTTACATGAAGGTTTGCAGAACAAATAGTTTCTCATTAAACAGTCAGTACACATATTGTTTTATGACATTGGTTAACAACCCCACGACATGTCAACCCTCTCCCTTCTTGACCTTGGATTTTTTTTTGGTGAAAATGGACATAGCCAAAGTTAAACCATTTCAAAAATTTCTACAGTGACATCAATTACATTTGTCCAGTTGTGCTGCTATTCTCACTATCCTTTCCCAAATTATTCCCTTGTTGTTATCTTCAGCTCACTGCCCCATATTTTTTTTTTTTTTCGAGAAATAATATTTGCTCTGTAGAAAGTTCATGCTGACTTCAGTGTAATAAAATGGATAAGAAAAGAGCAAGCCTATATGTAGCAAGAGCAGTTGGCTGGCTGTTGCAGTGGACCAAATGAACAACGATGATAGCTCAAATCAGAGTGCTTGTGGTAGGAATGAAAAAAACAGGAGTAACTTCTGGGGAAAGATGTCAGATTGAACAGATGCATCTTCATTGCCGTCTCCTGAAACTATGCTGAAAGCACAAATAGGAACTTCTTTTTAAAAAGCAGAAACCCATAGGGATGGAGAGAATGGCAGAGGATTAGATAGCAACAAGATTTTGGAAGCCACAAAAAAGATAGACACGTTGTAGATAATTTAGCGAACCAATAGTGGGGAAAGTCCAAAGGCAACTTGATCTACACCATACCAAAAAAAACCCAAACCCATTGCTGTCAAGTTGATTTCTGACTCATAGCGATCTACACGATAGGTTTATGACCTGATGACATCAGGCCCTTCTAGAAGTGGCAGTGAATCTGCAGAGAGAGGTTTAGTAATTAGGAGAATTGGTATAAGGTCTGTTTAAGAAGCAGTCAATTCCTCTCCCCAACTCTGTGTTACTGAACTACTGACTATCCCCCTTCTAGGAAAAAAACTAGGTTTTTTTTTTCCTTCTGGAGAGGGTGAAACAGATGGAAGATTAACCAAGTATGTACATACTGAATAATGAAACAATCTCTTCCCCAACCCCTACCCTGATTTCCCCATTCAGCTCCAAGAACACTAGCAGCTAGGTCTTCAAACTGTGGGCAGGAGATTGGAAGAGTCTTCCCTGTAGAATGGGAACAAAAGATCTAGAGATACTGAAATCAGTGTTCCCCAATCAGAATGGCTCAGCCAAATCACTCGATAATTAAGTTCAGAATAAACAAGCCCCTCTTACATGCTCTGAGTTCCCATCATTTTGGTCTTCATATACTTCAAATAATGAGAAACCAAGGATCACCACCCAGCTCAGAAAGGCCTGCAGGATGAAAGACCAAAGCAAGACAAAAGGAACCCACACAGGAAGGAAAAAAACTATCGATAATATCCTCAGAGGATAAGGATTTGCAACAAGAAACACGATCAGGGTGCAATTAAAACAAAAAAAGAAGAAGAAGAAAGATGCAGGGGGAAAAAGATAACAGTTAAATCTCAGTAGAAGAATTAGAAGATAAATAGAGGGAAATTTCCCAGAAAGTAAAGAAAAAAGATGGAAAGTAGGAGAAAAAACAGAAAAACTAGAGTACCAGGCAAAGAAATACAATATCTGGATAATAAGAGTTCTCCTAAGAATAAAGTATAGAGAAAATGTAAGGAAGGTAATCATTAAAGAAAAAAAAAAAAAAAAAAGATTTTTTAATTCCCAGAAATGAAGGACACAAATGATCAGATTGAAAGGTGTGAGTACCCAGCACAATGGTTATAGAGAGGCCTTGTGGCAGGGACTGAAGCTTGCCAACAACCACATGTATGAGCTTGGAATCAGATCCCCTTCTCCCCAGGTGAGTCTTCAGAAGACACCACAGTCCTGGAGGATAGTTTGAATGCATTCTTATGCAAGACCTTGAGCCAGAGGTACCCAGATAAGCTGTGCCTAGATTCCTAACCCACAGAAACCATGAAATAATAAATGTTTGTGGCTTTGGGGTAATTTGTTAAGCAGCAGTAACTGAGACATACATACTGTAAACCCATTGCCATCAAGTCGATTCCAACTCATAGCAACTCTCTAAAACAGCAGAACTGCCCGCATGGGGTTTTCAAGGCTGTAATCTTTACAGAAGCAGATAGCCACATCTTTCTCCCACGGAACCTCTCATGGGTTCAAACCGCCAAGCTTTTGGTTAGCAGCCGAGTGCTTAACCACTATGCCACCAGGGCTCCTTACTATAGTTCTGGTCCATATTTATTGCCCACAGTTATATATGTGTAGACTACCGTATTGTATAATGTTCAGAGATACCATAGAATTTTGCAAGACAGAAAAAAAAGAAAAACCCTAAAGAGTATTCTGAATATTTCTAACTTGTGTATTTAAAGTAAGAAAATAACATTAGATCAATGGACTAAGAGCACATTTTATATTGTCCTTATTACGGCAGTACCAGTCTCATTCTAGTATACATGTCTGTCTCCAAAGAGCTCTATAATTAGTGTAATTTTCTAATATGAAAATAGTTGGGAAGAATTGCTCTATCTCTGCCAGAGTGATCTTTTTATAATGTAAATCAGATCATATCATTGCTCAAAATTCTTCACTGGTTTTCCATTGCATTTATAAAAGTTAAAGCCCTTCGCATAGCTCCTTAAGACCTTCATGGTCTGGCCCCTACCCACCTCTCCTGCTTCATGTACTATCGTTCTACCCCTAACTCATCAACACGACAGGTTTTCATAGTCTTCACGCTTGGAATCCTTTTCCTCAAATGTCCAAATGCCCATGGTCTCCGCTTCTGTCACATTACCTTCCATCTCCCAGTTGGCACCTATGGCCTCATGAGGAGTTCCTTATGACTGAGGAAGAGACAACTCATGCGTGGTTCTGCACGATATGCAGACACCACTCGAAAGTGGACAGCAGCAGCACTACAGCCCGTTTCTGGGATTTCCCTGAAGTACAGTGGTGAAGGGAGATCTTCTCACTGGGCAGAACTTCAAGCAGTGCACCTGGTTGTTCACTTTGCTTGGAAGGAGAAATGGCTAGATGTGCGATTGTATACTGATTCATGGGCTGTGGCCAGTTGTTTGGCTGGATAGTCAGGGATTTGGAAGGAACATGATTGGAAAATTGGTGACAAGCAGGTATGGGGAAGAGGCATGTGGATGGACCTCTCTGAATGGGCCAAAGAAGTAAAGATATTTGTGTCTCATGTGAATACTCACGAAAGGGTGACCTCAGCAGAGGAGGATTTTAACAATCAAGTGGATAGGATGACACGTACTATGGAAACCAGTCATCGTCTTTCCCCAGCCACTCCTGTCATTGCCCAATGGGCTAATGAACAAAGTGGCATGGTATAGGGATGGAGGTAATGCATGGGCTCAGCAA